AAGCTTGTCAAGCGCACAACCCCTTTCAACAAGCACATGCTCCGGCATGCAAAGCTCCAATGTGTAACATTGAAAACGCTGGCTGCAAAACAAGTACGACAATGAAAACAAGTGCGCACAAAGTGCAACATGATGCAACAACTCATCCTTCAAGAGCTTTTCGGAACTGAAAGAAATAGCAGCAGCAGCAGAAATAGCAATCTGAGGGACGCCTGAGGCGCTTCTTTCATCATCTTTCATTGCCAATTACTACAGTAACTCCAACCCTCAGGCTTTGCACTCTGATCACTCTGTGAAACGGCTAGTCAGTTTTAGATGACAAAGATGTCAAGAGTCAAAAGGCTCTCGGACTCCTCAGCTTGGGCGGGAACAATGAGAACATGACGTGGAGCGGAAACCGAATTACCCAAGCGTTGGCTGTTGCGCGCGTTGAGCTAACTAAACAATCCCCGTTGTACCACCAAGAAATTGTAAATCAAATAATGGCGAGACCATATCCTTTTTTGTAAGCCCGCATTCTTGAATACTTGCCACATTTGCCATTGGTTTTGAATTTCCAAAGGCAAATGCCATACCATGCCTACCTGCACGCAAGTCACATGGTATCACAATGTTTTGGCCACTGGGTATCTGTTGTTCATGGCAGACAATACCATTCTGCAGCACACAGCAGTTTCACCCTCCAATGCTTCGATCAGAAAAGATGGCGCATCCAACTCCAAGGCCAAATCTAAGGCCGTCTTCTTTCGCGTATTCCGCAAATCCACCCTTGCCTTTGCCGTGAGCAAGGCCATGGCACCCTCGTACTGCCCAGTGATCACGGCAACCATAAGGGGTGTGGCATCAAAACTGTGATATCCCAGGCGCGCCCCTGTCCTCTGTGCACCCAATCTGTATTGAAAGCTCTGCGAAAGGTACAGCAATCCGACAAAGCTGTTGGAAGGCACCCGGTAGGGTTCATTCACGTCAGCTCTCAGCTCAAGCAATTGGGCCACCATCTCGCAAGTGCCTGAAAACTGGTAAGACTGAAATCCTGGACACAGACTGAAACCCTATTTCTACATCAACATACATCCGTTCTAGCATGTTACATGAATATACGTATCTACACACCAAAAACAACGGAATCTACCTTTGCACCTGCCTCCGCGATGAATCATTGCAGCGTGTAATGCTCCTGACAGGCTCAGCTTGCCATTGGACTGGACGAACAGTTCCTGGTGAAGGCATTGCGTCCAACTTCCACGGCAACTGAATGTTTCCGTATGCGTCATGACACACTCAGTCTGCGCTTCACCGTAGATTCTTAGTACATAGTACAGTATGTAGTATGTAGACAAATACATGATTACGCAATACTATTTGTGTACCACGTGATGACTGACTGTACCATATGCAACGGATATGTACAATAATGAGGTGTCACTGTAAAGTACTACCTGAGAAGGGAGGAGACGAAAGCCAGCCCCCCCCCCGCGTATGTGTGACGGGACCGTACTGCATCCGAGCAAACATGGTTGTTTTGGGCGGACACGTTCGGGCTTGGTGCAGTGCCGAGCAAACAGACTGATGGCACCGCACTTTGCAGAAACTCTTAGGGAGTGGGCGGCGGTCTAGGGGATGGAGAGGTGGATGCCCAGGATTGGATTCTCAGCTCACTTATTTTTTTGACTGTCAGCGCATTTTTTGTGTCCCAAAACAATCGCGACATGTCCATTCCAGTACCCGACTTTCCTGCATCCTGCAGGACCCTTCTTCCTGGTTCTGTCCTTCTTTATCGTTCTTTTCCCCTTCTTCCTGTCTCTTCCTTCTTCTTCTTGCCTATGCCTTCTTCCCCCTCTAAAGAGTGTAAGAAAAAATAGGAATAAGCAGCAAACACTCACAACGTGTCAATTCCAGTACCGAACTTTCCTGCATCTTGCATGACCCTTCTTCTACCTTCTTGTTTGTTCCTTCCTTATCTTTTCTTCTTCACCCATGCCGTTGCATTTTTTTACAACATGATAGCCTTTGTCTGATTGCATCACTTGCGTCCACAGCCTCCTCAAAACTTACAATTTTGCTCAACTCATGTCCACCAACTTTTGGCCGCTTTTCTCCAATACATTCTGATTGTTGACCTTCCAAAACTACTCATTTTGCACTTTGTTTGCTATTCAGACCTTCAGCCTAGCCTACGGCTGGCTTTCGTAATAATGTTATGTAAGTAACCTTAAAAACGTAAAGGATTGGGAGAACTGGCGCAACCCTCATGGCACCTTCACTGCCGCCACAGAATTCAAGGCGCTGGCCAACCAAAGGGCGGGAAGCCGGCTGGGCCGATGAGGCTCATCGCCTGCGCGACAGAGAAGACGAATGCCTTCCTCAGCGGCGAGCACAGGGAGAGGGCAAAGCCAAGGGCAAAAACCCGGACCGTGGCATCGGGAGAGAGCTGGAGAGAGCTGAGTAAGAATGGCATTGAATGACTAATTAAGATACTCCTCAAGTGCAAACAATCATCCCTTGATATCCCTTGCTGCCATCATGCTGTGTCAGTTTCACAATCTGCTCAGCTGATTTATGTCAGCATAAGTCAGCCATTAACTGTGTTTTAGACCCATGCATCGAAAGGTGTAGAACGATGAACCCTTCTCAAAACAAATCTGGGGCATACCAGCACATACCAGCCATGACATGCAACAAGCACTTTCAACATTGCAACAGAATCGAAAACATGCCTGAAGAAATCAGTTTGGCAGCTTGTACAACATTGATGATGTTTTGTGCTTGTGTATTTTTGCATTTTGTTGGGAAGTGTTCCTTTCCTCTGTCAATCCTCAAGATCTCTGAGAAATTGCCCTTCAAGGTGTTGGTAGTTTTTGTATCCTTACTCCGTGTATGTTGCCGTATGTTGCTATCCACTAGAGCTACATAGAGATCTATGCAAGCGGGTAGCACGCTGTTTTGAGCTTTGAGGGCTACGGTATATGTCTTCTGTAGAAATGAGCACGTAACCCTTTGCACCCCACTTGAGGGTGGATGCGAGCTTTTCCATTCAGCCTCACATCGGGTTACCACCAATCCGCCATCTTGCAGCTTTTGCAGAGACGGAGGGTGTCGAATGGCCGAGTTCTCTGACTCAGCTTGGGACAAGTGCTGTCCACATGGAAGACGTCCCTTCCATCGAGGTGGAACACCTTGCTAGACCAGGTGTTGATCTCACAGTCCACGCCCTTTTCGGCTGTGGAAACCATCTTCGTGCCCAGGCTCAAGCCCCCATGGACCTGGAAATACCGGGTCACACATTTGAAGAAAATCACCAGCGTCATGCATTGAAGGAAAAGCACAATGCTGATTCCTAGGGCCAAATCAGTGAAGACCCATTCACGCTCACTCACTTCGTCATTGGGCTCGGTTCTCGTGCTGTCCACTGACTGCAGCAAAGTCAGTAATGCCACCACCAGAGCATGCTTCGTCATGCCTTTCCCCAATGAGCTCACAGCCGCCACGCTGTTGTAGTTCTCCTTCACCTGAATCGCTGCTGCCTTGTTGGCCATCTCATGGGTGCCAATGCCAATCTTCTGGCGCAGCTCGATGAAGCGCTTGACTGCCAAGGCCTTTGTGCCAAAGTCTGCTGTGTTCTCCTGCGAAGAGACTGGATGCAGCGAGAACATCTTCCGCTGGAGTGCATCCTGCACCCACAGGCTCTTGACTTCGAGGTGCCTGATTCTGCCGACACCCTGGCGTTGAAACACGCCTCTTGCTGCACTGCTGTCCAAATAGACTTCCATCTTCAAGGGGCTGCCGATGAAGCCAAAGATCTCCTTCATGAAGATGCCTTCTGAACAGGCCGCAACTCCTCCATTGAACTCAGCCTCGCCTGAACTCAGGCAAAGCATCTGCAAAGATCTTGCATAGCTGTAGATCAAGCAGTTGCCAACCATGAACATTGCACATGCGCAGCTTTTGCGCGTTTTCTTGCAGTTTGCCCAGTCCGTGTCCGAGTGGATGATGAGCTTGTCCATCTCCCCACTTCGAGGGAGCCACACGCCAAAATCTCGTGTGCCCTGGAGGTACCTTGCAAGCCAGTGCAACTTGATCATGCTGCCATCACATGGCTCTTTCATGTCCTTCGTCATCTCCCGGACTGCGAACTGGATGTCTGTCCGGTCATAGGAGAGGTATAGTGCCAAACCAACTCCTGCACGGAAAAGCTTCACTTGCTCACCAGTCAGCTTCTTGCCATCCTTCACCTCAGTGTGCATGTAGGGCGTTGGAGCCTCATTGCACTCGCTCAGGCCGAGCATGTTCAGCAAGTCAGTGATGTCCTTGCTTCGAGGCGTCAGGAAAATCCCGTCCTCGTGAATCTCTCTTGTCCTCTTGAGGTGGGTGAACTTCTCGCCAGGCTGCTGCGGGTGAATCTGACTCTTCATCTTGATGCGTCCATGGAGTTCCTTCTCAAACTTGATCAAAGCCTTGTAGGGTCCAGTGGCAAAGATGTCATCCATATGGACTTCAACCACTACCCCACTGCCAGCGTTGAAGAACAACCATGGTGCTGCAGGGTTGCGCTCAAATGCCAAGTCCTTCAAGTGCCCTGCAGTCCACTCCACGAATGCTTGCCCTGCAATGCGCCTGCCGTACCACTCCTTCTTGAGCTTCCAGACCACGTTCTCCGGCAGGGTGACACCCTTCTCGAGCTGTCTCTCGATCCATTCCTTGGGTGCCTGCAGGTAGGCCTCCTCCTGGATGGGAACTTGCCAGAATGCATTCTCTGCATCAGCTGTCAGGAAGCTGTATCCCGTCTTCACTCCAATTACGTCGATGATCCTGGAGGTCGAGGTACTTGATGCCACTGCAAAGACATCTGTTCGTGGATCGCCACGCTTGAACTCTCTGCAGCAATACCTGCATCGGACAGATCCGTCTGGTTTCCTCCTCCTCACCCATGTTGCATCCAGCACCTTCATGCCCTTCTCATAGGCCACAGGGATGTAGGTCTCATACTTGTCCATCTTCTTGAACTCCTCCTCGTCGCCCTCTTTGATCTCCTCTGGAGTGAGGGGCTTGCTCTCTTCGTCTCCTGAGTCCATCTGCACATCTTCCACCTCTTCTTCACCAACCACGATGTCCTCTGTCGGGTTGTAGAGCGCACCAACATAGATTCCTCCCACGCGAGCCTTCTTCTCAGGTCTTTCTTCACCTCCGCCTGACCAAGCCCGTCTTGCTGAGATCTGAACGTCCATAGGTGCCTCATCTGAGGTAGTGTGCCATGGCCGCGCAACTCCGGATCCAGTTGCTGTTGCTTCTAGGACCTGTGTGTCTTCTGCCACTTCCAGTCGGGGAGTCTTGTTCTGGACCTCGCCTTCTCCTTCTGCTGGAGCAATCATCGGTGTGGGAGGCATCACAATATCTTGCTTTCGCTTGGGTCTGCCGATCGTAGTGCCTTGGTCCCAGGGAACACCCATCATGCTGTCCATGAGCTCCCTGTCATGCCGCTTGGCCTCAACTGCAAATCTTCGTATTGATCTGGCTGAGATCGTCCCCTCCTCCGTGCCAATCAGGTATTCTCCACTGGTCACGCTTCTCCCAAGGAAGATGCCCTTCCTCCATGTAGTGTCGCCCTTCGTGATGATGTTCCTGTTGTGGGACCTCCTGCTTTTGCTCACAGGAATCTTGACCAGAACAGTCTCTGCGAAGGGTACTAGTGGTGCCGTGTAGCTGGTGTCGAAGGCGTCTTGGTACGCAGTTCTCTGGTTTGCTTTCACAGCAAATCTGCTTCGAATGATGGAGCACCATCTCACCAGCCATGGCCACAGATTGTGGGAGGTATGGAGTGTCATGCCATACTCAGCCTCAACGCAGTACCTGAGCGTCAGCACATCACCTCGTAGGAGTCGTTGGAATGCTCCCATATGTCCAAGGCTCTGGCTTGAGTACCTTGGGACTTCTTCGAAGATGATCCTCAGTCCGGCCGCACCAGGAGCTTTCCCTTCTCTCAAGGCCGCTGCAATCTTGGCCACCACTTTCTTGATCACAGGCTCGTTGTCGCTCCTCAGTTTGACTGTGGTGTAGCCGAGCTGGGTGATGAATGAGGTGATCACTTTCACGACATATGGCATCTCCAAGTTCTTGCCAGGAATGCTGAGAGCTAGTGCCATGCCTGTGCCACTGTCGACGATGGAGAGCACCGTGTCACTGCTTTCCTCGAAGCGGTCAGTCAAGCTGGTGGCCGTCTTCAAGAAGAATTAGTCCAACTCAAAGTGATTGTCAGCCAGCTTCTGCTCCACAGTCAGTCGTCGATGGGGCTCATCAGATGCATGGCCACGCGTGCAATACTCACACCAAGCTGCAGGAGGGATGTGTGTGATCAGATGACGTTCAACTTCTTCAGTGTCCGGCATCTGAGGAACCGGAACGTAGTTCACATCAGGCTCGCGGCCTTCTCGTAGAGCTTGCTGTCGAGCACTCTGCTTCTCCACATAGTCACGTGCCTTTGCCTGTCTTGCCCTCTGCGCTGCCTCGGCCTTCTTCAGCCGCTCCCACAAGGTGTGCTTGTCTCCATAGATCGGCTCATCCAGTTCACGAAGCCGATCCCGCAAGTCAGCCACCTTGCTCCAACCATGCAGCTTGGGCCTGTCAGCGCGTGCATGAGCTTCATCTCGTGCAAACTGCTCAGGTAGGGGCACCAATTCCATGCCCTCCTCCTCATCGGCCGCACCTGCATACTCCCAGTCATACTCATCACCTTGACCTACGACTGGGGCCATCACTGCATTGGGCGTTGCATCCATTGGCATAGCCTCATCATCTCTGACCTTGATGTAGTACGAGTTCTTGTACAGGTACAGAGGGATTCTGAACTCGAGGTCAGGATGCGACAGGAAGGGTCGAAACCTGTCGGTCAGATCTGCAGTGAATCCTCTCTTGCTCAACTTGCCAACACTCACGACGTCCTTGCTGGCATTCTCGCTCACCTTGAACTCGGTGATCACGTTGAGGTGCCGATGGTTCTCACCAAGGATCTTAAAGTAGGCACGCTTCTGGCCAAGTTGGCCCAGACTCTCCCCGGAGATGCCAAGGAGCTGGGCGTCACTCTTCACTGTGAACTTGTCTCCTCCGAATGAGGGTCTGCACAGATGCTCATCGCTGCCAGAGTCCCATAGGAGGTACTTGAACTCTTCATTGGGCCAGTTAACTGTGTCCCAACAAATGCCAATCCGAGATCTCTTTGCCATGAAGTCTGTTGTTGAACTGGGTGTGGATCATCATGACCCATCGAGCGTCGTCATAGTCATCCTCAATGTCAAAGGTCTCCTCAGAGGCTGCGGGGCCGCCATCATCACGAGTGGTCTCACCTCGGTTCGTGTAGTAGGAGCCGCTCTGGAGAAAGTCCCTGAGAAACTTCTTTGCTCGCTCATAGTTTGTCCCAATCCGTGGACCTGCCATCCTCATAGCTGACCTCACCGAAGCCGGGCTGTGTTTCATCAGCACTGCAATCTTGGTGGAGTCTGACACCTGTTCTCTGCTCTGGACCTCATATCTTCGAATCTGGACTTCCCAAGTCTCCATGGCCTCTAGGAAGTCGATCTCCTTCACCGTCTCCCAGGCAGGGGCGATGATCCCTGTCAACATAGCTGTGTGTCGGCCGCCGATGTCCGGCTCATAGGCTTCACACAAAGCCTTCCATGCAGCAAAGCCGTTGCCATTCTCCACGTTCATCAGAACTGATAGGGCTCTGCCTTCAACCGACTGCGTCAGCAGGTTGAACAGGACCACTGCCTTCTCTTGTCCATTCTGGCCCATGTCGGCCAGGTGTAGGTCTGAGTACCTAGGAGCTTGCTCTGCCGCCGTGATCATGGCGTTGAAGCCGGGGTCCAACAGGTTCAGGTAGCCGCGGGCCACGAATGCCCATGGAGGCCAGTCTTCCTCCTTGCCATTGAACATCCTTAGCTTGCCGATGGCTCGAGTGTCGATCAAGCCACCTCCACCCACTGCGAAACCAGGGCCCATCATCTGCTGCAAAGTGCCGCCAGCAGTCGGAGAGCCACCTACAGGTGATGCAAAGGCTTGGGGCGGTGTGCCCGGTGCAGCATGTCCAGCGCCAGCCATGAGCGATGCTTGCCGCTGTGACCGTTTTAGGTCCAGACTTACGCCGGATTCCCCACGCAGCTGCCCGTAGGCCTTACGCTGTCTGACAGGGGGGAGCTGGGAGCCCTGAACCCAGCTCCGCTACCATGCAAGCGGGTAGCGCGCTGTTTTGAGCTTTGAGGGCTACGGTATATGTCTTCTGTACAAATGAGCATGTAACCCTTTGCAATCTACCATTTACGTCCCGGTGCTTTGAAGCCTCAAACAGGGCGATTGAAATACGTGACATTCTTAAGGAGAACCACTAAAGAAAACTGACCGTCTTGAACGGTAGACGCATTCTTCAACGACCATTTGGAACCAAATTGGCCCTCGACTATTCCTCAAATTGGTCCAAGGTCCTGCTACATTGCTAATGGGATTCCACTCAGGAAAGAGGTTTCCAAGTTTCCAACACAGAGGGAACCTTCCAGAAGAAATCAACATTAAGCACCGTACGAACACAAACCATTCAAGAGCTCAACGTCATTCAACTTCCTTCAGTCCTTTGGATGATCACTTGCTACAGTTGGAGCCCAAAAAGTTCTAGGAATCTTTCAAAAAGGAATATGATGTTGATGCCAAATGGTGCTGCATTGATCCGCCATTATCCAAAATGACCCACCCATCAAATTGCAAGCGTCGACATTGTCTTTGTGCGCCGCAAGTTGCATGGAGGGGATGACGCCAATGCTGAAATCTGCTTTGGCATCGAGGAGCAGCTGCGCAGCTTCATTGTGGTGCCACCAGGTGCAAATGCTTAAAACGCATTGCCCTGCCATTATGCCTATCCGATTGTGCGTCTTCTTGGTGGTATCATTGGGGTTGGCACGACGTTCCAGGAAGCTTCGCACCAATGCAGGATCTCCTCGCATGGTTGCATAACAAAAGGGCGACCATCCTGCACGGTCGACCTCATTGATATGATTGAAGCCATTCTCATAGAGAAATCGCTCGCATGGATCGGAGACATCATCCCCTGCAGATAGAAAGGAAATCGATTCCTTAGATCAGGACACACAGGAAACAGCATCATGCTTGCATGGCGGACTGCATCTATAGTCATCTATAGTGAATTAAGAGATAATTTCTACGAAATCATCCAGAAAGTCTCCTCATCCAGCCCTCGTTTACCCGAGCCAATGCTGAGTATTCTATACAAAATATACAAGCGTCATAACGCGGAAAGCCCCGAAGGTACCAGTCTTGAAGGTTCAAATACATTCGATAACCTTCAAGGTCCCCTTCACGTAGCTGCCTCTCAATGAGCCGTTCCAAGAATTGTCGGAGCACCACCCCGAGTTTCTTCCGATCCTCACTGAATCCGAAACTGCCTTCCCCAGGCATGCCACCGAAGGAAGTGATTGGGCTTGCAACGACCTCATAGTTCACATGGATCCTCACAACTACGTAGGCCTTTGCTGGTAGAAGCTCTCCTTAGTCATGCAGTATCAAATCACCTCCAACTAAGTTGGCTTTGAATGGTTTTGAAAGGTTTTTGGCGTTCCACATTCAGGTTCCATCATGTCGCGCAATGCTTGAAGACTTTCAGGACATGATGGCAGTGTCCCAGGTGACCCGGTGTACATGTCCTGAAATCGAGAAATTCCATATGCATCGTCCGAATAGTTTGAATCGTCAAGCTGAGATTCGCAACAAAATATCATAAAATACATGAATGTTCAACATTGTTCGACTTGGGTGGTACGCATTGGTACTAAGATAGCTGACATCGCACATGGTTCTACCTGATCGCTTAGCATGGCTTAGATTGGCGCCACCCCAACGGCAAGTCTCGAAGTTGTCTTTCCATTCGACACCATCCGCGACTTTCCCACGTCGATGGCCCCAGGAGTTCGGTGCGATCCTCCGACTCCACCATAGGGCAAAGAACAAAAAACAACTCCTTGGTTTCGCATGGTTTCAAAGTGTTTCAAGATAACCAAGACAGGTTTAGTTTGGTTTAGGACGTTGATGGATATGTCTAGGACTGCATCTGACTTCATCTTAGGACTTAATCGTCGCTCATGTCCGCCAACTCACACGTACATGTACTACTGAAATCTACCACTCCCAGCTCACACACCTGAGCGCCTGTGTCAACCTGCTGCGATCTCTCGCATAAGCGGGGTATGTCTTGACCATCAACATTTAATCCCTCTCTGAATTAAGCGCCCAACCTGGACGTGCGATTTCTTTAGGATCCAGAAAAAATGAAACAGCCCAGGTGACAGTCGAACGATTTCATGCCGAAGCCATCCAAAACCTTTCCAAGTTATCACCAAATCATGTCCATCATTCATCAGTAACGTCAGCATCATCATTCACATGATCCAATATCATCACGAATGTTCAACTATATATTGCGCGTGTGGATATTAATCTGCTCAACGGGAAGTATGAGTAGACTACCCTCTCCCTCGTAGACAGCGATGGCGCGCTCTTGTTTTCCGCTTGCCCTACGGGAGTCTTGAGCCAAATATTGGCGTGACACGCTGAAGTATGCAGTACATGTATATACTGTGCTGTCGTCCCACTGCTATTGACACCCCCCATGTGACCGACGCTATCAGCAATGGTCACACTTGAAGTTCAAGGGTAGTGGACTATGTACAGTGGTTCGCTATATCTTTGCCGCGAGACCTATCAAAATAGACTCTGACTACACATCACTATTGGAACTAAGCGGTCTTTTTACATATCTATACAGCGTGCAATTCATCCCGTTGGCTATGTATAGGATTTAATTCGTGAAAGCTCACAGTGAAGGTTTGTCTCGCCAGATTCCACTCAGTAGTTCTCCGCCACGATGTAGATTGAGCTTCGCTCCCATTCACCTGTAGAAAGTTCACACGCAGATACACTTACAACGTCAAAGGTCAAGCGTCGTGCACTTACCTTGCTCATCATTTGTTCAAGTGCGAGTACACTGAACATGTTTTCCACGGGTAACACACGCGTTGCATTAACCTCTTCTTGTCAGGTATCATTTTCTTCTTCATGGTACTGTTCACCATGTTCATATTGTTCTTCTTCACGACCTTGGTCCCATGCTTGCCAGCTCCTTCGCGTTGTTCTCGTGTTTGGGTTCTAATACGGTTCATTCCAATATCCTGGATCACGTCCATGTCTTGGATGTGTCCATGTGGTATCTCGGAATGTTGAACCATAGCTGTTTGTGCTGGCTTCCAGTCACGAGCATAGTTGTTGGTTTGCTCTCATGTTCGTCGACCGGCGTGACCATAGATCTTTCATGCGCTTGAGCACGATGACTTGGTGAAGCTGCTTCAGGCGGTGGTCGTTCGACCAGGCGCGACATTATGATGAGTGTGTTTCCCCTGTCATTCACAACGTTCTTTCCATAATCCTGGTATTTGTCCATCAGCTTCTGTATCTGATCCTTGTCCAATACGCTGCGCCAACGATCAAATGCCTGTTTGTCTTGATGTTTCGTCATCAACTCCAGGGTCGTCTGTGCTGCCGGTAGTAGAGTAACCTTTGCTTGGTCCATCACCAGAAGCATCACCTTCTCCCATTTGTTTTGTGGTCTGGCGTACATGACGTTCAAGGGATTGATGCATTTGTGCATGTCGCTATCGGTCAGGTCATTTCGGAAGTAAGAGTACGAAGTGACACTACTATAGATCGCGTTCACGCACTTCTGATCATCTTTGACATAGCTTCTTGTTTTGATTTCTTGCTGGACTCTACCATAGATGGTATCGTGCCTGGTGGTCTCCCTTTTGAAGGTCTCCGGTGTGTCTCCGAAAGCAATCGCTTGCAATGCAAACTTTCCAAGCAGCTCCCCCCTTAGCATGTACCTTGCTTCTTCCGTGGTGACCTTCTTCCACCTTGCGAAATCTTGCATTTGCTTCTCTGTCGGGTCTTTGGGCATGTCGTCATCATCGAACCCATTGTGCACCCCATTGGTGAAGTCGGACATTACATCCAATCTTTTCTTCGAGAAGAGTTCACGGAATTTGACGATGCCAGTCTGATGATACGAAGTATACATCGGCCTGGTTATTTGTGCCATACATCGAACAAGATATCTGTCCATGAGCCCTGATGATCCTGTGATTGTGTCTTGGCAACCAGCTTCGTCTTGAGAGTCAAATGGAACCGGCCCTGGATACCTGCACCATTTTGGAAGTTCGTGATTGGCGAGATTCTCGTCAGGATGGTACCAGATGTTTTTTTACTTATAACTTAGTTATGAATGGGACAACTAGACTTATATCTTAGTAACAACCATGATAAGTGCCGTAAGTTATACAAAAAACCGCTTGGAACTTATCGTACTTATTTATAGAGTTTCGCTAGTTATGTTAAAAATTTTGCATACTTATAAGTAGAACGTAAGTATGACGAAAAAAACCAAGTTGTACTTATTTTCTACTTGTCCTACTTATGGGGATAGAGGTTTTGAGGGCTGTCCTGGCAGTTGGGCTCAAGCAAATATAGACTGGGGGAGCATATATATATATATATTATAGACAGCTGGCGACCGACATCCTGTACGCATTGGACGCTGTGGGTGTGCTGGTCTCTGAGGTGTATAAGCTGGAAGCCTCTATCGGGCTCATTGGGCCACTCTAGAGCACTCACTGGGCGCAAGAAAACGGAGTGGCCGGAATTGTGGGAAAATTGTGGGAAATTGTGGGAAACCTTTTGAGAGGTAGAATGTGGGAAAGACCCTGCCAATTACCTTTAATAAGGGAAATTGTGGGAAGATTGAAAAATTATGAAATAAATTGTGGGAAAGCCGGGACGGGAAATATTGTGTTTCTTGGTTTTTTTTTGGTGGTTTGGGGCTGCCGCGCCGCGCGTTTTGGTTTTGTCGCCGACGCCGCCGCAGAGATCTCTATATACCCCAGACTTCCGGTGCGCCGACCAGTTCACACGAACAAACAAATATATATATATATATATAGATATTTCTTTTTTTATGCGGCTGTATCTGGTTGAAATTTACATGCGGACAGAAAGAATCAAAACCTTCAAAAACACAACATGTTCTACTTGCCGTCGCACTTGTCCTACTTATTTGGTAAGGTCCATAAGTTGCATAAGTATACTTATGTTACATATAAGTATAAGTAGCGTAACAGGACTTATAAGTAAAAAAACATCTGGTAGGATTTTGGTCCTTCATCTCCATAATCATCGTCGTCATTCCTTCCATCGTCAAGTCTGGTTTCTTGATCTTCTGTCTCAATCTCTTCGACCACTCTATTTGACGTTTTAGTGAACTCAGTAGTACATCTGTTGATAGCTTCTTGCTCATCGATGACTTCTTCGACCTCCGAGCCTGGGAATTACGTTCGTAGTCCACCTCATCAACATCGAAAGATGGTTCCTTCTTAGACTCTAGATTCTTCCTCTTCATGAAGTCTTCAATGTGCTCTTGGCTAACTTCTTCTTCGTCATCGTCAGGTATGATCTGTGATTGGAGCGCTGTTTTGACCTCGCCCATCTTCGCCTTGTCGATGATTTCTTGTTCTTCTTTGTCAGGATCGTTAAGTTCCTTCATCTCAACATCGCCTTTCTTTTCCACTTCCTCATCATCATCATCAATTTCGATGATGGTGCCTGTGGAGACGGTGTTTCTGATTCCACAACTGAAAAATCGTCCGACAATGTAGACACAAGGTGAAGATGTTCGGTGTCACATTCCTGCACGCAGGGCAGAAGATGTTTCCATCAACGCTGTTGTAGCCTTCGCAAGTTCTGGCAATGATCACATTCCACGGCTCTTGTTTTGTCCTTTGGGGTTTCCATTGTTGACAAGTTCATCGAGCTTGCGGATGTTGTCATCCCTCCTTGTGCGTCGGCAATAACTTCCTTCGCCCTTTCGACAATCTGATCCTTCGTTGCTATCTTGTTTGAATACCTGGCTGCCGCGATAAGGTGGTTTGTCACCCCTTTAATCCCAAGGCACTCCCTGAAATACAACCACATAGGAGCTTTCGGCAAGTCGTGCACCGAGACGTTGTAGATATGCAATTGGTACATATAGGACAATTGGAACGTCGTCCGTTGGGACTTTTGATCTCAATACAGTGGACATCAACTTGCCCGTGTGCCTTTGTCTCCTCCTGGCAATAGCCCGTGTTTCACTATAGATGGTAGTTTTGCAAGTGTTGTCACATGAAAGCTCCCGCCAAGCTGGATCGCTATATCGTCTGCAATGTCACGCGAGGCGAGGCGTGGGTTGAGAATGACATCCTCTTCGTTCTTGTCGGTATGCCTCGATTCCACTGGCATCATCCATCGATCATTCTCTCTATAGCATCTCATATCGTTTGGCACATGGTAGCTCTCTTCTTTCGTGACATCGCTAGCCGACATACGAACCGCTGCAATTTGGAACCTGACTCGATCTTCTTTGAGTACCACATGGCTTGGCAACACCGTCGGTATCTCACAGCAAGGATTTCTTCCAAGTAGTTCCCTCGAGTTGCTTCTTTCGTGATTCGGTTGCTGTTGTCGCTGCAGATGTGTCCATACATGAGTACATTACATCATTGATGTTCACCCACCCTCCTTCGTTGCATGGAAGGATGTCACGCTGTCTACCTGATCGTCCTACCACAGTTGCCTTCCCGATCTGATGTCTCAGTACCCTGCTGAGTCTCTTGCTGATCTCGTTTACCGTGAGGTAGTCGTCAGCGTCCCTGTGGATGTAGACTCCTGGATCATTGACAGGTGGTTCAGTGAACCTCCCCGATGGATCTTCCTTGCCATTCCACATTTTGACGCACCATGTTGTGGGATGATCTCAATGTTGCCTCGGTCACAGCCTGCATGGATCTGTCGATACGTGGTCTTGTGCGCTTGCGACTCATCAACCTTCACATTTTCCACTTTCGGGAGTTTTGAGCTCAAAAATTGCGCTCTTGTCAA